AACTGCCAATCAGCTTCTAGTGCTTCATGCTTAAAATGCAGTCGAGCACTGATAACTGCTATTTGAGGAAGAGAGGTGGACTGTAAGGAAAGCTAAGCCCCAAAGAATGATGCTATTGAACTGTGGTGTTGGAGAAGACTCTTGAGAGTCCCTTGGACTGCAAGGAGATCCATAGTCAATCTTAAAGGAAATCAGTCCTGAATATTCATTGAAAGGACTGATGGTGAAACTGAAACTCCAGTACTTTGGCCATCTGATGCAAAGAATTGACTCATTGGAAAAAACCCTGATGCTGGGAAAGATTGAAGTTGGGAGGAAAAGGGGATGACAGAGGATGAGATGGTTGTATGGCATCACCGATGCAATGAACATGAGTTTGAGTAAGCTCTGGGAGTTCGCGATGGACAGGGAAGCCTGGTGTTCTGCAGTCCATGGGGTCGCAAAGAGTCGGACATGACTGAGCGACTGAACTGAACTGAAAACACAGGAGAGGCTAAAAAAATCCTGAACTGAAACAACTCCGAGAAAAACACATATTTCATAGGGAGATATAAGAAAAAGATTAATCTTTAATTCAGTTGTTTCTATAGGGCAACTGACATCAGAGTTGTTTATAGTCACAAACTATTAGAAACAACTGTATATCTATTAATAGGATGTTGGCTGAATTAATTCTCCTATATTATTCTAAGTTCATACTCTACAAAAAAAAGGGTTAAAGTAGTGCTACAAATTTCAAAAAGGAAAAATATTCATACCATGTTATTTTCTAAGTTAAAAATATTTTTTACATAATTAAAAAAATAGTAGATTATGATTCCATTTATACGAAAATATGTTTGTATGCTCCCAGAAAGAATTGGATAGGAATCTGTCATTTTACTAGCAGTGGTTACATCTGGTAGCATGTTTAGGGACAAACTTAACTTTCTGTATTTGTTCATTGTTCAGGCTTCTATACAGTTAGCGTTTATGACTTTTGTCCTTAAGAAAGGAGCATAGCATAATTTTTTCAAATTGAAATATACTCAGAACACCTGCAGGATAACCAAGGGACTGATTTTTTTAAAGTGATTATTTGTTTATTTATTTTGTTGCACTAGGAGGTCTTCGTTGCTGTGAGGACTTTCTCTAATTGCAGCAAGTGAGGGCAGTTTATCATTGCAGTGCAAGGGCTTCTCATGGAGGCGGCTTCTTTTGCTGTAGATCACAGGCTCTATGCTCTTGGGCTTCAGTAGTTGCAGCACACAGGCTTAGAAGTTGTGACTTTTGGGCTTAGTTGCTCCATGGCATGTGGAATCTTCTGAGACCAGGGATCGAACCCATGTCCCCTGTACTGGCAGGAGAATTCTTATCCACTGCTCCACCAGGAAAGTCCCAAGTGACTGATTTTATTTAATCACATCTAGGGGCATCAGGAAATGATGTTGCTTTACCAAACATTCTGTACTATGAGTTAACCTAAAATAAAATTTCATCTCAACCAAAGGTATGTTGCTCTCTAGCTGTGACATGTGAAACTATATATAATGTGAAGTTCTGAAGTCACACTGATATTTCTCATGATGTTAGAGAGGTTATTTGGTGACAACCTGAATTATATATAATTTTCTAGAAACTTTAGACTAATACATTTTCTTTGTGATGCATAAAATTTGTGCTGTGCCTTTTCTTATTCACTGGTGCTGCTAGGTTTGGGTCTTCTGAAGGTACAGAGTTTCCTTGGGGGCTTCTTTAGAGGAATCAGGAAAACCTCAAGGAAGGTTTGGTAGATTACTGGGACTTGTGGGTCTTTTGCTGGATTGGGCTGACTTGTTACTTGTAGTGCCCAAGAGCAGATATAACCTACGTCATTATCAAGGAGGGGACTTGGGTGTCAGAGAGAATCACAGATCCATCTCCAGATCCTGTCTGTAGTAAAAAAGAGACAAAAAATCAAAATTCTAAAAACTCTCTGCGGCTTCCAGTGCCCTGAGAATAAAATCAGAATCCCTCAGCCTGAAAGGCCCCATTTGCCCTACCGAACATCTCATCAACTGAGTCAATTTGGCCTCCTTTCAGATCTCTGGAGGCCAAGCATTTCCCCCTTTTAGAGTCACAGTTCATTCTCCTTCTTTCTGCCTGAATGGCATCCCCTGGTTATCCTGGTGTCTCTTCACCCTTTCAGGCCACGGTGTCACCTTCAGTGAGGCCTTTCCTAATCAATGAATCTTAGTAAGAATTCCCTTCTCTTTTTCAGTCCCCTGATTGTTTCCATCTTAGCAGTCCACCGTTTGTATTTTTTAAGGGTTTTTATTTACTCTCCTTTCTACTTAGATGGGCAGTGCAGAGGGGCCGTGGACTTTCTTTCATTCGTACCGCCTGCAGCTGAAAGTGTCTGTGCAGCACCCTTGTCACTGCACACGTACCACGCCTCCAATGCCAGTATTTGCATTTCTGTGTCTGAAGACTTTGGCTTCTGGAAGCAGACTCTGCCTACCTGGGCTTCTGCCTGAAATGCTGGAGAAGATGTAGCTCTCATTTAGGTAATGTGATAGGAATTTCATTTAGGTAATGTGATAGGAATTAGTGTATGAATACCCAGGCTCCTTCCTGCTTTGGGGAGCTCAGCAGCTAGTGTTGCCTGGCTTGACAATATATCTTTTTTTCTTGGCTAACTCTCCTTCCTTGTCTCATTTCATCACTTCCTCACTGGTGTTTTCTTCACTTTCCAAAGGAACTACTTATACTGAAATCCTTGGTGGTGAGCGGTGGGGGTTGGGTGGTGGAAGGGGGGAGGTTGGGGTAGGGCAATGCTTCTGGCTCATGTAGGCTGCAGTGTTTGTTGAATGGATGAATGACTAGATGGGTCGGGGGCTGGATGAATGGAATAATAGATTTTAAAAATAGGTTATAAAGTAGAGTTCAAGACTGTATGAGGTGTAAAATTTCAAATTATGGACAGATTAAGTAATTGGTGAACTCATTCTAACAGGGCTAGTCTGCTCCCCTCAAAGACATAAGTCCACGTAAAGGTGAAGATATAGGACAATCTAAGATGACATTCAAAATGATTTCTTTATTTACTTATTTCTGATTGTTCTGGGTATTCCTTGGTGGGCAGGCTTTCTTCTGTAGGTGTGGCGAGCGAGAGCTACACTTTAGTTGTGGTGGGTGGACTTATTGCGGTGACTCCTCTTGTTTTGGAGCACGTGCTCTAAGGCACTTGGGCTTCAGTAATTGCAGCACATGGCCTCAATAGTTGCAGTTCCCAGGCTCGAGCATGGGCTCAGTAGTTGTGGTGCTTGGGTTTAGTTGCTCCACGGTATATGGGATCTTCCTGGACAAGGGATCGGATGCGTGTCTACTGCGTTGGCAGACAGATTCTTTACCACTGAGCCACCAGGGAAGGCCTAACATGGCATTTTTAAAAGCTAAGGTTTTCTTTAGTCCCACTGCCCAATTCTTGAGGATTTTATGGATGCCTCATTGATGTGTAGTTTTTACATTTATTGTTTTATTACAGTATTTACCTAAAGCACTAAGATGTGCTATACAAACTCATAAATAACGTTCGACACAAATTTTATTTCATTTAGGTAATGTTAACAGCCCCCAAAATCACCTTTCAAAAGTATATCTGGAAGTGAGAATTGGACTGTAAGTGAAACCAGAAGGTGAGATTTAGTCAGAGCCCCGGGATGAAGTGATCACAAAAAGGGACTGCAGCTGTGGAGGGTGAGGTAACTGATTTTAGCGCAGGCAGTATATTAGGTGTTGTTATCAGTGTTATCACTAGACAGGTTCACAGAGCTGTTTAGAGACACAGACTGGAGTCCTGAATCAGGAACCATTTCTATTTCCAGCAGATTATGAGTATGGAGAGTTGGCTAGACTATGAGTTTCGTGACTCATAAAAAAGAACATCAAAGCCTGACCCTCGGAAGGTTCATGTATGACATACAGGTGATTTGAATGCGGGAGAAGTATGAGTGTTTGGTCAGATGGCTGTTATAATTAGTATTGTTTTCAAAAGCCAAGCAATTGTTATGAACTAGTAAATCATTCATCACTAAGTGAAGCATTCCTCAAATTCCAAAAGAATTTAGTTCTGGCACTCTAGGTGATGAGTGTTACCTATGTGCTGTGCTGAGTCAACTCTGTCATGTCGGACTCTTTGTGACCCCATGGACTGCTGTCCTCCAAGCTCCTCTGTCCATGGGATTCTCCAGGCAAGAATACTGGAGTGGGTTGCCATGCCCTCCTCCAGGGGATCTTCCTGACCCAGGGATTGAACCCGCGTCTCTTATGTCTCCTGCATTGGCAAGAGGGTTCTTTACCACTAGTGCCACTTAGGAAGCCCTGAGTTTTATCTATCCCCAGACATTTAAAAATTAAAGATAATATGTCTGAAATCTTGTATGTTTGTATAAGTTTTCTGTAAGGAAATGTTGATATAATTGTGCTGGTTGAAAAGTATTTGCATTTAAAGAAGTATTGGGTTGGCCAAAAGTGTCGCGGGTTTTTCACCTACCATCTTATAGTAAAACCTGACTTTTTGGCCAACCCAATGTTATGGGTGAGACTGAATTAACTAAGCATGCCGATGGAAAATAGTGCTCAAGAATAATTTCCAGGAAAAATTTAACTCCTTTTGTTGAATCAGCCTGTCTTTTTCTTCATGGATATTGAGAATCCTAGAGTTGTGTTTCTTTATACATTTTGGCTACCAAAGAGCTTAGAACTTAATTTTCAGCTCAGTTTTTCTCAAGTACATGGGAACTTAGGACTTTCACATTTGTCTTTTAAATTTCTCCTTGTTTTTTAAAATCTATTCTGATTTTTCTTTTTCTTGAGTCTGTTTTTTTTTTTTTTCTACTTCGCCTGTATTTTTCTTTCTCACTTTATGTAAGTCACCACAAGCTTTTTGTGGAAAATGAAGGAACAAATGATTCATGAATAAAACATAAAGATGTAATCTATTTTTATTGCATTACTATTCTTTTTTTTTTTTTTTTAAGGCCAAATGTTTGTGAAGAAGAGCAGCTGACTGTGGTGGGACTACGACAGCCGTGTGTCCAAGCATTCACGCACACCATCAAGATCTGGAAACAGCGCTGCACCAGCCCACGGTGGTGTGTGGGTTATGAAAGAAGGTAAAGGTGTCCTGCTATTTTGTCTTTGTTTCAAAAAATCAAAGCCAAAGCCTCAACTGCATCTAAAGACTTCATCCAATAAATTTTAGAAAATAATTATATAAGTAAACCAGCATAAGATATGCCCATGAGGAACTTTAAAGTTATATATTTTCCTTCAGAAACAGAATATATTATTACTTTAGTTCAAGCCTCATTTATGTGTGAGGTATTTAGGTTAGATGCCATTAATTTTACTTTTTGACAGGATAGGCACTGAAAGCTGTGGACCAGAAGGCTGAGAGAAACAAGAAATACTGTGTTAGTTTGCTAAATTCAGTGTAACTTGGATCCAAGGCAGCTACGATTTTGAACTACCATCTGACCTGCCCCTGGTTCTCTTGTAACACTTCGAAACCTAGAACTTCTTTAACTTCATTATGGTCTTTGAATTAGGATTAACTCGGCTGCCTGGGAGAGGAGAGAAAAAGCCAGTATGTGCTTTTTCTATGCGTGAAGAGTTCAGAGGGACTTTTTAAAATAGATTTATAAAATATCTAAGCATTTCTTAAATAGTTGCTCAGGGGTTCAAGTTTTACGTAAATGAATCAATTTTGTCTGAATTCAGGAAACAAAGTTAAAAAATGTAACTTTAGGTTAATGAATTTATTATTACTAATATCACTAGTATTGCTGAAAGAAAATTGATGGCATGTGTAAATAAGGGCGTTTGCCACTGTACAGAAATGGCAGAATACTAGTAATATAAGACTAGATTTAATAAGACTAAATCATTTATAATTGTGGATATTTACATATACATTGTGTATGAATAGTGGGGTTTTTTTTTTTGGTCTATACTCAGGACCTTTAAATTAATTTAAATCAGAAAAAGCTTCTGGCTTTTACTAGCTGTGTGACACTGAAAAAGTTTCTACTTTTTCTGTTCTGTAGTCTGTAAAGTTAGATAAATAATACTGTACATGGATATTACAAGGATTAACTAAAAATGTATTTAACACATGTGTCACGATGCTTGGTACACAGTAGATATTCGAGTACCTGCTTTTGAAAATGTCTTTTCGATTAGATATCTGGCATCCCTTCCATGAAGTTTAGGGGCTCAGACGGTAAAGAATCTGCCTGCAGTGTAAGAGACCCGGGTTTGATCCCTGTGGTGGGAAGATCCTCTGAAGAAGGGAATGGGTACCAACGCCAATATTCTTGCCTGTAGTATTCCATGGACAGAGGAGCCTGGCAGGCTACAGTTCATACAGTTCACCTGGTTAGGCTACAGGTCAAAAGGAGTCAGACAGGGCTGAGTGACTAAAACTTTCACTTTCTTTTCACTTCCATGAGATTTAACTCTTGTTGATATTAGTCCAAACCAAAGAAAGTCCACTACCACATAGACATTCAGATTTGGGAAAGCAAACATGAATAAATAAAACATGTTTTATGTTTATTTTCAAGAGCTTAATAGTTTTCTGCATTCCTTTATTCAGCAAGTATTTATGAAACTGAGTTTGGAGTTGTGGCATGCCAAACTAACATCCCTTTTGTTTGTTTGTAAGTAAACAAATGTATACTTATATCCCTATTAGAGAGATGCACCTCCAAAAATATTAGGGGACACGTCAAGATGGTGAATAATCAAGTGTCATAAAAAGAAAGAAAGAAAGTAAAGTAAAGTGTTTGCCTGCAGTGCAGGAGACCTGGGTTCGATCCCTGGGTTGGGAAGATCCCCTGAAGAAGGGAATGGCAACCCACTCCAGTGTTCTTGCCTGGAAAATCCCATGGTCAGATAGGTTACAGTCCATGGGGTCGCAAAGAGTCGGATACGACTAAGCGACTTCACTTTCTTTCTTTCTATTCTTTCTTCAAGATGGTGAATAGTCAAGTATTATAAAAATGACATTAAATCCTATTTTCAAGAGAGGAGAAAGAACACTGTACATTGACATGATGCAAAAAGAGAAATTGGAAGAAGTGAAACTTGAAATTGGCTTTGAATATGAAGGGGATTGGGCTTCCTAGTGGCTCAGTGGCAAAGAATCCATCTAAAATCCAGGAGACATGGGTTCGATCCCTGGGTTGGGAAGATCCCCTTAAGGAGGGTGTGGCAACCCACTCTAGTATTCTTGCCAGGAAAATCCCATGGACAGAGGAGCCTGGCTGGCTACACCCATGGGGCTGCAAAGAGTCAGATGTGAGTGAAGCAAATGAGCACTCAGGTACATGAAGGTGATTTGGGCTGGGGATATGAGGATAGGTAAGTGAGAGGAAGACAAGATAATACTTTAGGGATAAAGAATAAATAAATAAGACATCAGTTTGATAGGAAGGATGTTATCTGGGTTAGTGACATTATGGTTCAGTTAGTTCAGTTCAGTGGCCCAATCATGACCGACTCTTTGCGACCCCAAGGACTGCAGCATGCCAGGCCTCCCTGTCCATCACCAGTTGTGGTATTATGGTCTATTAAGAGGTCAACAGAAATAGTGTAGTGTTTTGTTCATTATTTTGTTCATTGTTCAATCTTTTGTTCATTATTGCCCCTCCCGTGAGACTTTGTAAACTTTTTATTTTAGTAATTGTCCCCCTTCCCAATGAAGGTTCAGTATCACAGATATGCTTGTTTCTGTTCTTTCACGTGGAGGACCACAGACCATTGTATTACTAAGATTTTTCTCACCCCTCCTACCCAAGAACCAATTGTCCCCTGCTTGTGGGTGATGTCACCACTGATCAGAATGCACACTATCATGGGACCCATGATGAGGGGACTTCACTGTCAAATTGAAAGCGTGTGACTTATTATCCTTCTGGATTTCATTATTCTCTTCATAATCGTGGGTTCCATTTTTGATAGCTTCAGTAACCCTTAGGGTAGTTTATACTACAGGACTTGCAGCCCCTCTTAATTTTCAATAACCGTATCTATATTGAATCTTGGTTATGTATTTAGTGAGGTGTGTGTGTGTGCATGTATAATGCATACAAATTATATATATATGTGTGTGTGTGTGTGTGTGTGTATAAAAGTGTGTGTGTATGTATAAATGTCAGGATTTGGATTGCAGGAAGAATTTGGTAGTGGGTTTAAGGTGACAGCTCTGGCCTTAAGACGAAGCATTACCTTAAGAGGAAAATAGGATCAATCTCGTTCTTATTCCTTAGGACCCGATACTACACCATCTACAGACAGACATACAGCCTGGAGCAGCAAACCGTCTACAAGTGCTGCCCTGGTTGGAGCCGGTGGGACAATGAGCCTGGCTGCCTATGCTGTAAGTTATAATTCTTCCTGTCTAGCTCTCTGTCACTAGAAGTAATGGTCTCACTCTGTTTTGGGCTTCAATCATATCATGCCTGTCAAGCTTTAGGCATCTTTAGACTCACCACAGATTCAGAGCATCTCTTTGGACTGAAGATGCACACATGGCATGTACAGAAATGTGCAGAAAGCCTTTCTGTTAAACGTTGCTAACGATAGGTCAGAACTCAGGACCCACAGAACTGCTGCTTTATATTCTGTCTCTTTATGTAAAAGGCAGTTTATTTAAAGCCAGACAGGTTACACCTAGTAAGCTTCCATCTCCCTTTGCTGTTTGCCCCTTTCCCATATCATCAAATTTGTAATCCATGGCTGATTCAAAAGTCCAGAGGGAAATCTAAATGGGATTTCTTGACTTGTACTTGTCATGATTAATTGCAGAACTAGGGAGGCAGTTTACTTTTTAAGATGAGGTATGCAGTCCTTTCACAAACCTCTGGTGAGGGTATTCCGGGACCTTTGGTATCTATCTGACAGCCCTTGAGCAGTGAAACTAGCAGCGTTATATAGTTCATTCACACCAGAGAAATGAATCTGTTTAGCAACTCCGTTACCTATGTGTTTATGGTTATTGCCAAGTCACTTAAAATGCTTCAGTGTGTTGCAATCAATGCAGACCACAGCACAACCATCCATCTCTTCTGTTATCCTGCACTTTCGGGAGTTTGTCGGCATCCTGCTCCCTTCCCCAGCATGCTTTCTGCTCTTGAATGATTTTGGTGAAGTTGCCTCAGGCTTCCCATATTAAGCAGGCTTAGGGTTGAGGGGTCCACTGGGGGTCATTGTATTTGCATGCAGTGCTAGGATACTGAAGATGAGTGGCTTAAGCTCAGTAAATATATCTGCCCACATGTCATCTCAACTCTATTAGAGACTCCTGGAAATTAATGACTGTGAGATGAATTCTTTGTCTTGTGTGGCACCTAGCACAGTCCTTTGCCTCTGGTAAGTATTTGTATTTCTTGCTTGTGTTTTAGATTTGCTTGGGTTACACAGCCATCTTCATGGAGTTCCTTTAGACTAGTGCTGCTCTTTTTTTTTTTCGTTTAGTTTTTATTGGAGTGGAGTTGATTTACAATGCTGTGTTAGTCTTAGGTGTACAGCAAAGTGAATCAGTTATACATACACATATATCCGCTCTTTAAAAAATTTGTTTCCCATAAAGGCCATTACTACTCAAACTTGAATCTGAATACAAATCAGCTAGTACCTTGTTAAGGTGTGGATTCTGTTTCAGTAGGTCTGGGGTGGGCCATTTCTAGGAGCTTCAAAGTGATGCAGATGTTACCATGTATAGAGTTCTACAAGGCTTCAGAAGGCAATGGCCTTAATTGGTAATGAAAAAACTGTTTTCGATGGAGAGGCAATGGAGGGGCAGGTAGAAATATCTAGATGCTGTCTATATTAGCAACTTGATGCTTACACTGAAGATTTTCTTTCCTTCCCTATACACTGTTCTCTCCGGCCTTCTCTCTACCTTTCTTTTAGTGGTCTCTGCCGTGGGGACTTGTGTCCATGGGAAGAGATGTTCAGAGGGTGAAGTCCAGCGGTGCCAGTGTTCAGAGGGTTTTCAGGGACCCCACTGTCAATATGGTGAGTTGCCAACAAGACCATTTTATTATGATTTGGAGCTGTCTGCCTTGCTTTTAGGGGCCAGCCAATTTTGTCGATTCAAACTAATGGCAGGGTTATCCCTCTGGGGATTGGTGAGCATTTGAAATCAGCCACTAAGCAAAAACCTACAACCTACAGTGTACTCAGCATTGGAAATTATGCTCTGCAGTTTAGTTTTAATTATTCACTATAAGAGTTCAAAGGGTAGCAGTCAGTACAAAATAGTCTATTTTGTAAAGGAAATGGCAGCTTAATAAGAAAACCTCTTTCTGACTTCAGATGTTAAATCTTTAATGGAGTCATGGTCTGAAAGTACTGGTACAGTATTCTGTGAGATTTGTGTGATTTGTGAATGAAAAAAGTGAGGATTAAGACAAATTCAGCATGATGTGATATTTACTATTTTTATATCCTTTGTTTTGTAAAAAAAAAGCACAAGAAACCTGACACTTGCATGATTCTCAATGTGTCAAAACTTGGTAACCTAGTTTTCAAGGTTGGAGCTTAATCAACTGTCAATTTTGGACATGTGTGTTTAAGATGTTTCTTGGGCAGGAAATTCTCAAAATGGCCAATGATGTGTCTTTTACTGCATCTGCTATGAGATTGGGTGCTTTCAGAAGGATTTGTTTTGACTTGATCATCTGATTCTAGTCTCTGGAAGATGTGAATGCATCTGCATTTATCTTTTCAAGGCAGGGAAAACAAAACCAAACCTATCATATAGAAGTTAAAGAAATAGGTATAAAAAGTGAACAAAAATATTGTCTTCATTATCTTCTGCTGATACGTTTGCCTTCTCTTATCCATTGCTTCAATCTTTGTCATTGAAGTTGGAAGGTTGCTGAGAGCTCATCACTCATATTCATTTGTCTCCTCTGCCCTTGGCATGAGGTTCAGGCTCACATTTTTTCCTGGGCACCTCAAAGCTATTCTGCTTGTAAATTAATCTTGATATTCTTCTCTAGGTTGTTTCCTTTTTTAAAAAATTGTGAATTAAAATAAAGCTGATTTTCTATCCCAATTTATTCTTTGACTATGGAACAATGATTTCAAAACAGAGGTCTGAGCTCTGGAGAGTGTCTTCAGTCATTTCCGTTAATTTCAAGATGGTAACAGAAACTATACATTGTTCCATGAGACCAAATTATTTGCCCCTAAACACATTGCTTGAACTGTCTGTGCCACACTGGTTTCCTCATCTTGATCATTATCTGTGATGGGCAATTACACATGTCATTGATTCATTAAAAAATTTAAAAATCAATTATTACTTTATTAATTCATTTGTTTCGGTAGACTACATTTTGCAAAACATCAAGTCCCTGAGGAGAAAGGTAATCAAAGGGACATATGGCAATGATAATAGCCTCAAAATTACACCTGGATTAATTTAGTCTTTATTTTTCTATATTAGTACTTGCATATTTTGATTATTACAATTTCTTAACAACTTTTGTTTACCAGAGTAATTAAAATGCTTTTTGAAATTCAGATAGCTAGATTTTGTATTCTTTTGTTTGGAGTTGGTGAAAATACTGGATAATTTTAAATGCATGCAGAATAAGTATATATTTTCACAAGTTTGTTTTTATACAGAAAGTTTCAGAAGTCATGAGGAAAGGTGGACCACACAAAAACCATTTAGGATTCTGCATTGCTCTTTTAAGTACTGTTCTCCAAGTGTGTTTACCTATGGATTTTGACAGTGTTTCATCTCTCACTGTAGAACTCCTGTTGAAAGTAAAAAGAAAAATTGATAAACCCCAAGGGATATATATCCTGAAGTAGAAGTTCAGGAATCTCCTATATGATTTCATATTTCATCCAGCAAAATGAGATATTATAAAGTATAGAAATTTAGGAGTTTGATGGAGGAATTTTGAAGACTTCCTAGGAAATCAAATATTTGGTGAGACAAGTGGAGAATACAGTTAAGAATACAGTTAGTACATTAGATGAATCTTGAGAGTAGATTAAAAATGAAAATTAGAAAAAATTGTTTTAAGAAGAGTATAATCAATAAGATATATATATATTCTCTCAATTAGGTGGATTTTAGTTTGGAAGTACTGCTTGAAGCCAATCTCTTATCCAGTGGCTGGATTTGTGTTCTGAATTATGAGTATATAAACCTTGGTCTGATAGGCATTACTCTCTCTCCCTCTGGATATATTATATATATCAAAATGAAAATTAATTTGATGTTTTTCAAATTATATAAATAGTGATTCAAATGATAAAAATAATTCAAATTTAAAATGTTTTAATTATTAAAAATTAGCAGTTTATACAATATAAGAAAGTAAAAATCTATAGTCCTATTGCCCACAGAAAATCATGTGGTTATCCTTTTATGTATATTTAATCATATTCATATAACATATGGAATTTTACATAGATGAGATCGTCTCTCATATAATGGTTTTATCACAAATGCCCCCCTTTTTTTCTTATTTTTTCTTCTTTGCTCTTCTCATCCAGTATACTCTCTCCTCCCTAGTAACAATCTTCTCGATACTCTTTTCTATATTTCTCTGCACATATGGAAACATATACAAACAGCTGCATAACATTCCATGGTGTTGATATGCCGTAAAATTTCAACCACCCGTGTATATTGATGGGCATCCATTTTGTTTCCAGCTTTTTGACACAACATCAGTGCTGCAATAGTATGATGCTTTTAATTCTGTGAAACAGATTCCCAGCAGTGGGATTGTTGGATTCAATTAATATGTGTTTTTTAAAATTATAATGTACTTAAGGATCAAAATATTCATTTAAATTATTTGTGAGATGTTTTGTGGGCCATGGCAATGACTTTATAAGCTTATTTGGTTGGGATGGATTAAAACCTAGATGAGTGCTAATTATTTACTTATTTTTTTGACATGGTAACAAAATGGAGAATCACTTGCCTCTTCATCTAAAGCAAGATGTCTGATAAAATATCTAGGATCAGAGTTATTATAAACATGGATTGCTCTCAGTATAGGATAAAGTAAAGTTGACTTTACTTGATATGTATGGGAAAAATAAGTCAATAAAATGAGCCAGATGGGCCTTTTAAAAATGGAGAAAAGAATCTAGTCCAGAGAGAGAAGGGACATGCTAATAATTGAGAGAAATGCTTGAAGTTGATAATGATTCTAAAATTGCTGATCTACTTAACTCATTTGAAAAATCTGCCTTTAATAAGGAAAAATGAAGAAAATGAATTTGGACAATTAGGAAGTAATGAAGAGCTTTCTAAAATAGCTATTGATTAAAGGAATCAAAGGGAATACTTTGAAGATTTGAACACATGCAAATCAAGCTAGATAGCTAGTGGTTAAATTTTCTCTTTTTTAATTTTATGGATCCAGGCAAAACAACTTGGAGCTTCATTAACTGATTAATATCACACACAGAGTCACTCCTTTTATTCCTCGTCACTTATTCCATCTTCCCTTTCCCTGGTCAGAGGTCAAGTTAAATTATAATGTGCCTAATAGTGAGATGCTCAGAGATCTTCTTATTTCTTTCATTTATATATTCATTCATTCATTCATTCTTCTAGCCAGTCTTTCAGTTAGTCAGTAGATATTAATGTCTCATGCCTAGTCTGTGTGCTAAGTGCTGCAGATTCTAAAACAAATGTGGTATCCTTAGTGTGATGGGAAATAGAGACCAGGAAATCAGTGATTCTAATATAGCTTGTGAATGCTATGACAGAGGATAGTTCTCTCCTAAAGAAAATAAGAGAGGGTTGCTCAAGGTGATGCTCAGAAATAAAGGAAGTTTTATGAAAAGATTTGAAAACACAAAGTACAACTTATTCTTGAAGAGGAACAGAACAATAATATGAAATTTGGCCTAGGAGATAGAATATTTCCCAGATATATTAAAAACAGAGCAAGCTCAAGGGATAATAATAATAATACAAGTAGTTCTCTTGGCTTCGAGAAGAGCTGCACATGGGACATGGCAAAAACAGCTTTTCTTATGTCCAGGGCAGCAGTTCCTTAACTTTTCTCTGTCCAGTCAAACTAGCTTTTCCAGAACCTCATACAGAGGTGGTTACTGATTCTTCAAGGACTTTGCCTTCCCTAAAACCAATCCCCGACCAGGCACTCCTTTAGGCAGAGTTTCTTGAACATACAACTTTACTGTTTGGTACTTTATTCCTATACTAGAGTCCCCAGACCTCTCTGTTATGCCCGATGTCCGAATCCCCCAGCGTGAAAAGAGAAGACCTCCATGACAATGCAACACGCAAAGGAAGGGAAATTTATTGCTGACTCGAGTCAGGGCCCCTGCTGCAACCAACGCAGTGGTGCAAAGTCAGAGAGCCCCGAGCCCCAGTTTCCACACACATTTATAGGGTGCTCGATTTCAGACATACGCAGTGGGTAGTTATCACAAGCGGATTGTCTACATGTTTGCGAAGCGATTTCATTGGTCAAACACACTTTAAAATTTTCGCTTGCAGGGGACTTTCCCGGAGGTTTACTGGGCGCGTGCTGATTGGCTGGTCTCTGGTGGCCTGTTGAGGGCAGATAATTACCCCACCCTCCCGAGAAACTGAAACTTAGGCTTGCTCATAGTTCAGGGCTCCTGTCATGGCGCTAGTTATGCCCATCTCACACTCTCATTTTCTTCGAAGTGTGATGTTCAGGCACTTTAAAAATAGAGTGTTGCTTTCAAATGGAATGCTGTCTGTTGACATGGAAAACCGAGGCATTCTGGGCTGGAGGTTGAGTCTTACCAATGACTATTTGCAATATCTTGGAGAAGACATTTTATAGCCCTATAGCTCATTGTCATCATTTGTAAAATAATGAGCTCTAATTTTCCTGTGCAGCTTCCGTGTGCCAAGCACAGTTCTAAACAATTTGTATGGATCAAATTATTAATCCTTATAACAAGTCTATGAGGTGAACACTCTTGTTTGTCCTTATTTGTACCCAACTGAAGCATACAAACCTGTCTGATGTCAAACAGCTGGGAAGGAGGGCACCTGGAATCCATGTTCTAGTCCTGTTACCTTTAAGTCATGGTCCCTTTGTAATACTTGGCATAATCATGTCTCTGCCAGGTTGTTATTTGTAGTTCACATGAGATAATGCGTGTGATCTGTAAGTTGGCAGGCATTATCCAAGCAATGCTTCTTATTTCATTGGAATATAATTGCTTTACAATGTTGTCTTAGTTTTTGGTGTATAGTGAAGTGAATCAGCCATATGCATATGTATATCCCCTCTTTCTTGGGCCTCTCTCCCACCCACCCCTCTAGGTCATCACAGAGCACCAAGCTGAGCTTCCTGTGGTTTATAGCAGGTTTCCAAGGGCTATCTGCTTTACAGACGGTAATGTATATATGTTGATCATAATCTTCCAATTTGTCCTGCTCTTTCCTTCCCCTGCTGTGTCCACATCTGCATCTCTGTTCCTGTCTTGTAAATAGGTTCATCTGTATTATTTTTCTAGATTCCACATATATGTGTTAATTTATGGTAATTAATGCATTACTTCTTTATATTGATTGTAGATTCCCTGAAAATCTGTAGAGGAAGTGCACTAAGTGAAGGGGGAAGGGCGCCTGTGGTTGCTTTCCTTCCCATTCTGTGGGAAATCTGAGCAAACTTTGGGTGTTGGGTCACAGGTATGATTTTCAGCCAACCAGTGGGTTCCAATCATGGAGCCCAGTGAACTCTTTGCTGGATATAGCTCTTCTGTGCAGATAGGAGATCAGAACAAAGAATCTCCTTAAAGTGGCTTGTCCCCAAGAGTATTTTTAATTTGAGAATTGGTGCTGGTTGAATTGTGTCTGTTTTGCCCGATGTCCGAATCCCCGGGCGGGAAGAGAGAAGGCTTCCAAGACAATGCAATTCGCAAAAAAAGGGAAGTCTATTACTGACTTGAGCCAGGGCTTTCTGCCGCAACCATCGCAGTGGTGCAGGGTCAGAAAGCCCTGAGCAGAGGCGGTTACCCAAATTTATAAGGTGTGCATAAGCGGTTAGTAGCTGGCTTAAGGGATTGGTTACAGGTTTGCAAAGCAATTTTATTGGTACAAACTTTTGCGGGCTTTTTTCAAACCTGGGCGTTTGTGGGCTTTTCAGCTCTCCCTTTGTTTCTTACTGGGCGCATATTGATTGGCTGGCTCCAGGTTACCTGATGGGGGTTGGGAATCTTACCATTTTGGGGGAAGCTAAAACTTGGGTCCAGGCCACCTGTCATGGTATTAACCCTGGTAGCCTCACAGTGTCACCCTAAATTTATATGTTGAAATTCTCATCCCCAGTAGCTCATAATTTGACCTTATTTAAAAATATGATTGTTGTAGGTTTAATTAGTTAAGATGTGATTGTATGAAAGTAAGGTGGACCCCTAATCCAATATATACTGATTAAAAGGGGAAATTTGGACATACAGGTATGCACACATAGAGAATACCATGGGAAGATGAGGGCAGAAATCAGGGTGAGGCATTAATAATCCAAAGAATGTCAAGGATTGCTAGCCAACCACAAGAAGCTAGAAGAGAGTCATGGAAAGGATTTTTCCACCCAGCACTCAAATAGAAGCAACCCTGCTGATACTTTGATCTCAGGCTTCCAGCCTCTAGAACTGAGAGACAATACATTTCTGTTGTTTAAACTGCTCAGTTTGTGGTACTTTGTTACAGCAGCCCTGGTGATCTAATCTAGAAAGTTTAGAAAACATTTTCCATCTCCACAGCTTCATTTCAGCGGTAGGCCTACTGAAACAATGAAAATGGGGAAAAAGTGGCAGGGGGTTTATAAAGAGCAAATCATGCTAAGAAAACTTGATGGCTTATTTTAATTGAATTATAAAATTAGTGGGGGAAGAAGATTTAATTGGGAAAAAATGCAAAATCATTAATTGAACATGCCTATTAATCTGCAGTCCTAAATGAGCATTACTAGGAGATAGTCTGAGATGAAACACAGGTTATATTATGGAGATAAATTAATAGGCATTCTTAACATGTGTAAAATTCAGTATTTTTTTGTTCATTTTTTTGTTCATGTGTGACATGTGTAAAATTCTGAGAGTTTAAAATTCAGTATTATTTTGTTCACTGCATAAAGATGCACTGAGTTAGAGCCTTAAACCCTTGGCAGGGTTCTAGCAAGTCCGTGTCAAGGCGATTGCATTCTGCTTTACATAACTTGACAGAAGGATATGGCAGTATTGACAAGGATTGAGGCAAGTACAGGAAAGGGACAGCTAGACCGTTTATGAGGAAAGTAAAGCAATAACTGTTTGACATCTTCCTGTGAGCATAATAAAGGGACATCTTATTAGGTATCCACACAGAAGGTTTACTACCCTGACATTGATTTAAAAATAGAAGCTTTGACAGTGCTTTTACTAAAATAGCCTTCCAGGTATGCTTTGCCTGGCCAGTGTTAGCAACCAGAAGGTAGATGCATTTAAAGAAAAGACTGTATGAGAATTGCCTAATGTTGCAAGAATGGCAGCCTTAGAAGAGGGTGACCTAGCACTATCCAGGGTTATTTGATTCTACAGGATATCCTTAGTGATGGGCTAGAAAAGTTTGAAGATGGATAGTAATGACTATAAGAGCTAACACAGAAATCATGCTTTCTACATGGTAGGTGCTGTCCTCACTGCTTTATGCATGTCAGCTCATTAATTACTCACAACAATTTTCTAAGGTAGTTCCCATTTTGCAATAGCACACTGAAAGTGGGAAGAAATTAACTTACTTGAGGTCATGTGTGTAATAAATGATAGAGCTAGGGTGTGAACTCAAGCAGTCTGGCTCCTGAGTCTGTCCTTTGAGTCACTATGTGATGTTGTTTCTTTAAAATATAATAGATCTCTTGTTTATGAGAAATAATATTTATATCATTTCCCTGAAAGGGACATAAAGGATTTATATTTTATTTTTAGTGTTTAAACCTGTTCGGTATGCTGAGAAAACAGTATTCCTGCAAGAAGTTTGAGCTAAATGACTTTTTTCACTTAAAGTTTTGCTTGCTATACATGTATTGAGGGATTTTTAGAACCTGTGTAAGAAATACATAGCTTTGCTATTGAAAAGGCTGCATTCTCATTACAGAGATAGGAAAACAAATCATTATAATGTGATGAAGGGTGTTCTCAGAAATACACTAAAAGAAATCCAGGGACTAAGTCATAGTGGGGAGCAGGACTTGGGGGGTTATGGCAAGTAAGATGTGTATTAACTCCATGTCATTCATTATTGCCCCGTGAACAGTTTGGGTTTCAACTCCTTGGATATGTAATGCCATTGAAGATTTTAAGATGGGCATTTTATGTGTAGATGTGTGTTTCAAAGATATAGCCATAATACAATGGAAAGAGGCTGAAAATCCAAAGGAAAAGAAATGTTATGTCATTCAAATGGCCAAATCTTGCGTGCACTCATTTGTTGAAGATAAGGTGTCCATAGGTTTGTGGATTTATCTCTGGGCTTTCTATTCTGTTCCATTGATCTATATTTCTGTCTTTGTGCCAGTACCATACTGTCTTGATGACTGTGGCTTTGTAGTATAGTCTGAAGTCAGGCAGGTTGATTCCTCCAGTTCCATTCTTCTTTCTCAAGATTACGTTGGCTATTTGAGGTTTTTTGTATTTCCATACAAATTGTGAAATTATTTGTTCTAGTTCTGTGAAAAATACCATTGGTAGCTTGATAGGGATTGCATTGAATCTATAGATTGCTTTGGGTAGTATAGTCATTTTGACAATATTGATTCTTCCAATCCATGAACATGGTATATTTCTCCATCTGTTTGTGTCCTCTTTGATTTCTTTCATCAGTGTTTTATAGTTTTCTATGTATAGGTCTTTTGTTTCTTTAGGTAGATATACTCCTAAGTATTTTATTCTTTTTGTTGCAATGGTGAATGGTATTGTTTCCTTAATTTCTCTTTCTATTTTCTCATTGTTAGTGTATAGGAATGCAAGGGATTTCTGTGTGTTAATTTTATATCCTGCAACTTTACTATATTCGTTGATTAGCTCTAGTAATTTTCTGGTAGAATCTTTAGGGTTTTCTATGTAGAGGATCATGTCATCTGCAAACAGAGAGAGTTTCACTTCTTCTTTTCCTATCTGGATTCCTTTTACTTCTTTTTCTGCTCTGATTGCTGTGGCCAAAACTTCCAAAACTATGTTGAATGGTAGTGGTGAGAGTGGGCATCCTTGTCTTGTCATTCTTTTTGTTGCTTGCTGGGGCTTCCCTCATAGCTCCATTGATAAAGAATCCACCTTGCAGTGCAGGAGACGCTGGTTTGATTCCTGTTTCTGGAAGATCCCCTGGAGAAGGGATAAGCTACCTCCTCCAGTGTTCTTGGTCTTCCCTTGTGGCTCAGATGGTAAAGAATCTATCTGCAGTGCGGGAGACCTGGGTTTGATCCCTGGGTTGGGAAGATCCTCTGGAGAAGGGAAAGGCTACCAACTCCAGTATTCTGGTCTGGAGAATTCCATGGACTATACAGTCCATGGGGTTGCAAAGAGTTGGACACAACTGAGCGACTTTCACTTCACTCACTTTCATTGCTTGCTGCCAAAAGGTTTTGTTGCTGTTACTGTTTTTAAAATACCAGACTTCTCTTATTTTATCAGGTACATAACTTAAAATGCCCCCTTTAGTTTTTTGATTATATAAAGTCCCATTTTTCTCTTAAGAGTTTTGATAAGTGTAATTTGGAAGAGGAAATCCTGGATTAAAAAATCTATGACAAAAATCAATACCGTTCAGTATTTTTTGAAATAGTATAACTGGAATTTTTGCTTGCCATTTGAATTTTAAGTATATGTTGCCTGTGTGTGTGAAGGGTAAAATTTTACTCAAAGTTATTTATATCTGGGCAAAGTGAACTGGGCATACACCAATAGCATCATCACCAGTAATGGCCATTGGGACGGGTCAGTTGGTCTGTACAGTGCAGCTTCATTTCTTAGTCATTTTTGAAACCATAAGTTCCTTAATCTACTGTAAAATGAATGGAATGGAATGAAACTTTCTACACTTCTCTTTTAGAATTTAGGCTGGTCAGTGTTAGAAACTACCAGTATGATAGTCAATTACAAAAATACCCTAGAGTGATTAGGGTATTTTGTGTTGAGAAAAGAAAAAATGAAATTTCTTTACAAGATTCTCTGCTCTCAGGCTAGTCTAGTAACACTGCCCTGGAGAGTAGGAGTGAGAGATGGAAGGAAGCATCTTGTGGGTCTGTTACCTCGGTGACGTTCACCAGACAGAATGGCCCCGGGGACCCAGTTAACCTGGTTGTGGGTGTTTCGGGACTTATTTAAAGGTACATTTCCTGAAAGAGGCAA